TTAGTTTTTTTCCTTTCATTGTTCCTTTTTATTGAGGAGTTTTTATATGGATCTTTTATTTCTCCGGCAGTTTGAAAGACAAAATGTATTTTTGGTTGCTTGGTTGAAGACTTCAAATTTTCAAGTTCGGATAAGTTTCTTTTGCCAATGGAGTCTCGTAATGTGTCATGTTCCTCTATTAAAGTTTGGTATATTAAACTCTTTCACGGATGTCACTTGTAATAGGTTTCCGAAAAAACAATATTCAACAATATTAAAGTTTGATATATTAAACTCTTTCACGGACGTCACTTGTAATAAATTTCCAAAAAAACAATATTCAACAATATTCGGGACAATATTGTAGAATGTTTCTTTTGTCATTCTATTTGAAAATGAACCAATTTTTACTTGAAAAGTTAACATCTTTTGCCAAGATTAAGAACATCTCTATACAGAAAACTTCAATTTTCTATATTTATATTTTTTATTCCTATAAAAATATATGAATATTATAATATACTCGACTTATATTTATTATTAATGAATTAGTAAGTTTAAAAAAAATTAAAAAGACCATTCATGATAAATATTTAGGGTCCTTCATAAATACCTATCGTTAATGTATTTCATTCTTATTCATAAATAGTGAAATGGGGAATATTTGAGAATCCATTTTTCATTCCATTCTGTGGTGAACATGAAAAGTTTCTAAGTTATAATGAAACCAAAGAGTAATTGATAAAACCTCTATTAAATTGAAAATATATATTATATATATAATAATTACTGTGGTAATATGAGATCTTAATGATGAGTAAAATCTTATTTAGGAGCCCCACCACAACTATGGAGTGAGTGCATGATCTGAAATCCAGTTAGCAACAAATCTTTGGATCAATGATTCCTCTTCAAAATGAACAAGTAGAGGACCCCGCGGGCTCATATTTATTTTTATTAATAATATTTAACATTATCTAAAATGTCGTAATTAATTAATTTGAAATTAAATAAATATACATACGATAGAATATAAATATTTATCATGAATCTACTCCGATAATTATAGAGATTAATATTAATATTTACATAAAATCTTGATTAATTAGGAACCAATGAGTCTTTCTAAACTTATAAAGACTTGGGATTTACGAATGAGTCCTATATATACACAGTGTTAACCCTAAAAAACGGGATTGAAAACCCTAAACACGTAAAACAACCCTATTACTATCTGAATTAACCTCTTGGATTTTTTGATATCTATCAATGTATATGCACAATCATCGATTTATCATATAAGTAGTCCTTTTATCTATATTATTCTACAACTAATAACTTTAGTCTTATATTAATTTTAAAGCAAATTATAAAAAAAATTTGAGAGATTTAATTGTATTATTAAATAATAACTTGAGAAATAAAGTAAATTGCATTTTAAAATTTTGGAAATAAAAATATTGTACAGATTAAAATATCAAGCACTAAAAGGTAACAAAAAGTTTCATAAATATTTTACAAACAAATAATAAAATATTGGGTCATTAAACTAAGAAGTAGAAAAAAATAAAATACGGGATTAATATATATGTAATTGTTACTGTGAAGCTTATGGTCTTAGATATTTTTTAAAATTAAAAATGTAATTGGAAAGTGAAATTAAAAAAAAAAAAAAAAAGAAAAGATGAAAAAAAGGGCATAGAGATAGAAAGTCGTTCCAACTAAAAATTTTATTGGTAATTGATGTGATAGAGGCAGCAAATGCAGGTCCTTACGTGTTTCTCATTATGTTTCCTCACATAATGTTTTACAAAATTATGAAATTGGGGTGTATGATAGATCTTTTTGTAAAATATACTATTCCACATGATAGAAAGTGTCGTGCATAAAGAGTTTATTCAGTAAAATTAAAAGTCACCTCTTAATTAATATTTCATCAAATTTTATAAGAGATAGAGGTTTATTTGATAAAATTAGTTGTTTTAGTAGTTTTAGTTGTTTTAATAGTTGTCAGTTATTTAACTTCGTTTCATCAAATATAACTAGTATAAATGCTACGTTACTGAACACTATAAATACAGTATGTCTAGTAACAATTTAGTGTTTGGCTTGTCAAAATGTTAAACGTTATTTTTTATAATATTAAGTAACATAACATTTAAACTATCTTTTAGAAGTTAAGCTAACTTTTTATAAAAAATTAACTTATATAACATGTAACTTTTAGCTTTGTATGAAAAACTATTAAAACATATAACAGTTAAATGATACTAAAACAGTTAATAATTATTAAAATAACTAATTTTATTAAATAGATCTATAACAAAGACAGTGTTTTGACTAAAAACTACATAAAACTCTATTACAGAATATGGTAGCAAACGCTACATGAAAAGCTATTGTTCAATATTTTCAAAAGACTTACAAATATTTTATTGAACACTTTAAATTTACAAAATTAAATTAATTAAACACTCATTAAAAAGTTAAAATTTATGAAATTTATTGTTCCAAAAGTCATGTTAACTATATGTCAAGTCGATATTTTGTAGATAAAGCCAAAAACCTTAAAAATTATTGATATTAGTGTCGAAAAGTATATAATATTACTAAACTTTGTAAATTCAGACGTATAATAGGTCATCCGCAAAATTCAGAATACTATAAAATTAAAATTACAAAATTCATGAGTGATTTTATATATTTAGCAGAAGACAAATGTATGCATTTAAGCTAGAGCCAGGCTCAAAATGCGTCCATTTTTTATTTGATCCGAGCTAATACTGGACTCGGCAAGAATTCTTGAACTTTAATTTGCCAACCATATCTAAATTTGGTCCGATTCTAACTGAATTTATTGCTTTTCAGTTCAAATGGAGTTCCGCCTAGAAAAATAAAAGTTTTAACTCTAATGTTTTTTATAAGGACCCAAGTGGACCGGACTGGTATCCTGGCCCGTCATCAGATCTAATTTGACCAAATCAAAATGGGCCCTTATGTTTTTTTTTTTTTTTTTTTTTTAACAAATTCCATGAGTGATTCAATATATAGCAGAAGACAAAATGTATGAATTTTAAGCTAGAGCAGGCTCAAAAATGCGTCACATTTTTTTTTTTATTGACTCCGAGCTAATACTGGACTCGGCAAGCAATTTTCTTGACACTTTAATTTGCCAAACCATATCTAATTTAGAACGTCCGATTCTACTGAATTTATTGCTTTTCAGTTTCAAAGGAAGTTCCGCCTAGAAAAAATAAATTTCCCTTAACCTAATGTTCTTTTACAATAAGGACCCAAGCTGGACCGGACTAGAGTATTCTGGCCCGTCATCAGATACAATTTGACCAATCAAAAAGGGCCCTATGTTTTTTTTTTTTTTGTTTTTCTACTTAGTAGACCCTTCAGTGTATTAAATTCACTGTATTTATTATAGTTTTCCCAATTGACTATTTTTAACATCCATGACTATTTTAACAAAATCCGCCTATTAAGCATCGCTATCAAGCTATCCATCGGGTATAAACAGCTCTAAATCAAATGAGGTTTTTTTTTTTTTTTTTTTTTTTTTTAACTTTGAGTAGATTCAGTGTATTAAATTCACTGTATTTATTATAGTTTTCCATGACTATTTTAACATCCATGACTATTTTAACAAAATGCTATTAAGCAATCGCTATCAGCTATCCATCGGTATAAACAGCTAAATCAAATGAGGTTTAAAGTGAACTTTTTTAATACTTGTAATTATACTTTTGGCAATATGGAACTAGACTCTAACATTAGGAAAGTTAAAAAAAAATGTTTCACAGATATCAAATTAAAAGAAAAGGAAATATTAAACCTTTTATAAAGTAAAATTTAAAGAAATTTTGAAGTTGATTCTGCCGAGCTAATTCCAGGGAGGTGGATTTGGTCGCTAAGATTATATCGGATTAATTTAGAGAAAGCAGAAATCTCATTTAGCCCCCTACAACGGCAGTCATGGGAGATCTAATTAAAAGAAGATTAGGTGTTCTCGAGATTCAACAGCACACTAAGTATTTGGGCTTCAACAACACACTAAACAAATTATAGTCAAATTCATGGACGGGGCTTAAAATTTAGAAATGCTAAATTTTTTCAAAGGCCTGGCTTAAACTCCACGGCCCGATCAAGTTCTTTACAGCACTTCAAGTGCATGTACCAATCCATCCATCACAAGTTTCTGCTTTCTAAGCAACTAAAATGTTGATCAAAACCTCCATAATTCCTCTATAAAGAGCTACATAAACCAACAGTGCACCTGCAAGTTCCTTTTCCGGCCTTAGCCATACATTTTAAGACAAGAAAATACAATAAGGTAAACTTAATTCAAAGTTTCTCCACCTCTTTTGGTTAGATACAAATTCTTTCACTTTAATTACATATGAATTCATGAGAAACTATATCATAAAGCAAGAACTGAAAACAGTATACACTTTAGTGCTGTAGCAAGAGATTCAAGCTTGTATCAGGATCAAGAACACAATCCTTTTAGTAAAATGGAAATCAATTCCCATTGTTTCAAGGAAAAAAAATTTTTAACCATGGCACGCATTGCATTAGAATCAACATATTAAAATCCTAAGAACTAGCTGAAAAGCTGTTGCCGAACATGGTAAATTACATGTAGCTCAGCTTCTTTACATATGGCAATACTTGCTAGGACTGGATCCCTATGGACTAATACACTCGTGAGTAACGCATAATTACATTGGTTGCATATAATGGAATGAATACATTAAGACATGAGAAATCCTGTTCACCAAGATGAAAAGAATTAAGTAATACAAGCTAACCAGATGAGCGAAAAAGCATGTTTTGCTGATTAGCCATGAATATATATATATATATATATATATATATTCCTGCAAAATTACCAGCAATATAGCTACAGTTCCTGCATATTTAATTGTTTAGAACAAGAACTATTGTCTAAAATGATGTATCATCCAATCCAGTCAATTCAAGCAAGACAAACTGGCCAAAATGGATGAATCAAGTAAAAAACAAATAGCATCCAATAATAATTTCTATATTGAACAGAAAATGAGATAGCAGCTGATACAAAATTAAGTTAATCATTCAACTGCTTACATATTCCTAAAACGTCCTAATTTTCCAGCCAACCGAAACCAAATGGAGATAATGTCTCTCCACAATTGTTGTTAATATTGTTACGATAACAAGTCCAAGAAAAAAAAATTAGAAGTTACCAATTTCATTAGTAACCATCAAAAAGATTGTTTTTTTTTTTGTTATTATTGTTAAATAACCATTTCCATCTCAATCTACTTATTCTTCATGGTGACTCCAAATTCACCAGCAACAATAACAGTAGTTGCCATACCAAGAAACATTCCATGTTCAACAACTCCAGCTAGCCTCAAAATAGCATCACTAGCAGCTTTTAAATCACCAATATCCTTTTTGAAAAATAAATCTACAATATAATTCCCATTGTCAGTAACAAAAGGCTCACCACTTTCACTGTCTCCATTTCTTCTCAACTTGGCCAAGCAATCTGCATAACCAAACATCTCTTGAAGCCTTTCTTGTGTAAATTTCCAACAGAAAGGCACAACCTCTACAGGCATAGCTCCATTAGCTCCAATATGAGGAACCAATTTTGACTCATCAACAATAACTACAAACTTTTTACAAGCACTTTCAATCATTTTCTCTCTTAACAAAGACCCACCTCGTCCTTTCACCAAATTGAGATCGGAATCCACCTCATCGGCGCCGTCGATGGCAAGATCGACGTTGGGGTGAGAATCAAGATCAGATAAAGGAATACCTAGAGATAAAGCTTGTTGGTGAGTCTTTTTTGAAGTGGGTATTCCAATAATGTTCTTTAACTTTCCTTGGTGCAAGAGATCCGCGATTCGGTCGACGGCGTGTTTGGCGGTGGAGCCGGTACCGAGGCCGAGAACCATACCAGACTGGACAAAGTCGACAGCTTTATAAGCTGCAATCTTTTTAAGCTCGTCCTGCGTAAGAATAACTGGAGGTTGGGATATAGGAGCCATAGGAGATAAAGGTCCTGCCTCCATTGATAACTTTTCTGATCCAATCAATGGCTGACATGGAATAGCCATTTTTTCTTCCTTTTAATTTATAAGAAGAAAAAAATCAGAGGCAGAGACAAAACAGATATAGAGACAAAGAGGTTATGTTTAATTGAAAGATAGGGTTTGTGTGAAGGAAACGAGCGGGCGAGGAAGAAGGAGGAATTGGGTTGAGGTTTTATAGAGGAAAAGGTAACCGCGGGTGATGGTGCAGTGGTCCTGCAGGAAGGAAGGAAAGATGGAAGGAAAAGAACTAAGGAAAGAAAAGGAAAGGAAAGGAAAATAGTTTCCAGAGAATGGGAATTTTGACGTTGGAGGGAAATATAGGTGGAAAAGAAGATTCCTCTTTCTATATTATAATAACAAAGTATCCTATGCGTCTTTGACCGTGCGAGATATCAAGCTAGCGCAGCACCGCACATTATTATTTAGATAAATAATTCTACATGCCTATATCTTAAAAATATAAAAAGGATATTTTTCTACTTTTTTTTTAGATATTTTTAAAGCTTTTTTTTTTTTTTTATAGAAAACACAAGTTATATAGTTATTAATTATTTTAGTTCATATTTATCCTTGAATTCACATATATTATAATTTATATTCTTAACAAAAAAACTCTAAATTTATCATATAAACTAAACTATTTGTTTGTATGCTTTTTTTCAAAATGTACTAAGTTCATGGATTCTTTATATATTATTCATTTTTTAAAGTTTTTTTTAATTTATTGTTAAGATGATATTATGGTTAATTTTCACTCTATTTCAGTTTTTTTAAATAAAATTCCCTTGAAAGAAATATTTTATATAATGTTAAGTCCATTAAAAGGCAAAGTAGAAAGTCAAAAAAAAAAAAAAAAAAAAATCTTTCTATATATATTAATAATCACAAGGGTCATGATTACTAGCAGCTCATAGTTGTAACCGTGCGCAATTTCCCGATTTATCCAAGGCCTCTCACGACTAGCAACCCGCACACATTTATATTATTTAGATAAAAATAATATCTATCATAGACTGTCAACATTTCAATCATTATATCTATAAATTTCAAATCAAATAAAAAGGACTTATTTTTTTCTACTTTTTTTTTAGCAATATTTTTTAAAGCTTTTTTTTTTATTTATATTATATAAGATAAACACCTAGTTATACTATTAGTTATTAAATATATCTGCTTAGTTCATTTTTATCCTTGAATTCACATATATTTATAATTTACTCTTCTTTAACAAATAAAAAACTACTAAATATTATTAATCATATAAACTAAACTATCTTCTGGATCTTGATATGCTTCTTTGTTCCTTTTCCCAAAATGTTATCTAAGTTCATGGATTCCTTTTCAACTATATATTATATCATTATTTTAAAGTTTTTATTTAATCTCTATTGTAGTACACGATGTTTCTTTAATGGTTAAGTTTTCACTCTATTTTTCAGTTTTTTATTAAATAAACTTTCCCTTGAGACAAAAGATAAAGAATATGATAAATCTTTCTATTAATGTTAAGTCCATTAAAAGGCAAAGTTAGAAAAGTCAAAAAAAAAAAAAAAAAAAAAAAAAAAAGGCAAAGTAGGATATCCCATGGGAGAGAGGGGATGTCATATATTCTTTCTCCCTTCACTAGAGGTCTCGAGTACGAACCCTTAGTATGAAGTCTCTTTAAATATTCAGGATAGTGCGATTTGTTCCTTTAAAAAAAAGCAAAGTAGGATACAAATTTTAAATACATTGAAGAGTGGATTAAAATATAAATTAAAAAATCATTAAGTAAACGATGATGGGAACGGATATTGGATTCGAAACCTTTTGGTTCTAATTAAAGTTTATTTTAAGTCTATTTCATCAATGAAAATAAAAATAAGTTATTCATATTGGGATATATATATATATATATATATATATATATATATATATATATATATATATAACACACCTCACTATTGTGGTTAAATAAATAAAATAAATTACTAATTAAATCAATATTTGAAATGTTAAAAGAAATTTTTTTTTTTTATTTTTTTCCTCATACACTTTTATGAGGATTTTTACATTGGGGGTGGATTTTTCAATAATAAATAAAGAGAAAATTATAGTTACAATCTCTATATTTTACAAAATACAATTAGTCAGTCCATGTGTTTTTAAAAATATACTAAAATCTTCTTGTAATTCACTTCCATCAGATTATAAGGTCTTTCTATCTAATTTTTGTATCTTTTTCATTAAATGCTTATAAAATGATGAAAACACCTCTTTTCTTACCTTTGGTATTTTTTTAAAACACATGAATGAATTAATTGAATTTTTCAAATCACAAAAATTATACTGTAATTTTTTCATATAAAATTTTAATATTTCTTGTTTGAACTCAGTGTTTTCTTGTTGACTTAACGTAAGATCCAAAAAAAAAAAATTGACAAAAAAATCTATAGAAATAAATTAGTAAATTTTTAAAAATATATGGACAGATTAGTTGTATTTTGCAATTCACAAGGATCATTCTATAATTTTTTCTAAAATAAATAGGTGAATACAATAAGATGGAAAAACAATAGCAAAAGACATTGACTCACGGAACTTGTGACTTGGAAGTATCCAAATTTGACAAAAAAAATGAAGATTTGATTTAGGTGATATCACTAAAAATTTGGAGTCATTGCTTATTGGTTTTCCCTTCTTTGTCTTGTTAAGGGTAGGCCATGTGAAAGAAACCGAAGTAAAAAGCCTCCCTTTGCTTTCTTTCCTCATTTCCAAAGAACAATCAAGTGGCAAATAAAGCTTAGAGATTTCCTCTAATTGCTATTCTCCGCATATTCCCAACCACTACTTAATTTTCATGTCTTTTCTGGGATGATTGGATTGATTTTTTTTCTCTTTTTTTGGACTATATGCATATTTTTGGTAAACTTACTATTTAGTACCTTAGAATTGATTTTAATGTCTACTTAGGCCTCATTTGGTCTACTTCCCGGGGAGTTCAATTCTTAGGAAGTAAAGTTCCATGGAAGTTACTTCCTGTGAAATACAGTATGTTTAGTTGATATATTAATTTTTCGAAAAGTAAAATTGTGTCAATAAAATATAATATATAAATGTCAATAATACCTTACCATGAATTTGAGTATATTAATTGAATCATTGAAAATACCTATGAAACAAGGACAAAATGGACTTTTTCAATTTCTAGAATTGAGGAAGTGCACTTCTTTGGATTGAGAGGGTAACTTACTTCCTGTTCAGTCAAAGGAAACAAGAGTTTCAAGTCCTTTTTATATTTTTGAGAACCAAAATAAATGCTATTTCTCACTTTCTGAAAACTTCAAATTCCCGAGAAAAGTTACCCCAACCAAACAAGGCCTTAGTTTTTATAATTTTGATTAAATACTTAAATTACCCCAAAATGTTGAATTTGTTTCTATGAAAAAAAAACTAATTTTTACCGTTTAAGATTTGATTATTTCAGCATATCAATCTTTCATTTCATGATAATAATATTCTTCCCGCCCTACCCAATTTTCTTCTTGAGTGTTCTAAAATTATTTTTCATTTGTATTTTTTTTTTTTTGCTTTTTTCGAGAGGTGATATGGAATGATATGAATCTCTTCTCCATTAACTAGAGGTTTCAAGTTCGAGCCTTAGGTATGAAGTCCTCTTAAACACTCAGGAGAAAGAGAGCTTTGCCCCCTTCTGTAGACCTGCTCGGTACAAATCCAGATTAATCGGGCCAATGAACTTTGAATATCAAATAATTAAAATATTTTTTTTTTTTAAAATACTCATTACGAAATTTTGATATGCTGACCATTCATCCAATTATAAGAATCTCAATTGATCACGAATAAACAAATTTTAAAATCTTTAGGTAGATACAGAAAAGTAAGAAAAACAAATTATAGTTAAATTAATTTAACCAATTATTCTTAGACTGTATGGAAAAAAGATACTATACTTTGATATGGAGAGCATAATTAGTTAAGTAAAAGTTAGAGGTGATTTAGTTATTTAATTAAAATATATGGACCAAGTAATAATTAAGTAAAACCCCAGAAAGTAAATAATTTAGTTTATTTTTATTTTTATTATTACAAAGCTATAACTTTTGATATGCTCTTTTAGCTTAGTAGGTTATACTTTGAAGATGATGTGCCCTATCCCTATGGTATATAGATCATAATATTCTTGGGAAAGGTCATTAGACTGACTCATCCACCTCCACTACTTTGGTCACTTACAATGGTTTATATTGCTTGTCTCCTTGTTTGATTGTTTTGTGGGGTAACATTAAAATCTATATGTTTATGCAAGGATAGGTTATTAGGACTTAGAAGCTCTCATTTAAATATTTTTTTTCTATTTTTACATCAATTTTCATTTTCTTTCTTCTTTTTGTTATTTTCCTCTTTCCTCTCTTTTTTAGAAGCATAATGTCTTTCTCTAGTTTAATTTTTGTTCCACTTATAATATCCTTTAATGATGATGTACTCAATTTTAGATAGTGTCTTTTAGTATATTAATTACACTCCAACCGTCCATAAATATAATAAAATATTCATTAATTTGATTAAATTAACTTTTAAAATTATAGAGATAATTTACATTTAATATGAATAAGGGGTAAACTTGAAACATCATTAATTATTTTTTGATATTTTTAAAATGACTTATAGGAGTGGATAAAAGAACTATTGTAAAACGACTTATATTCATATATAGAGAGAGAGAGAGAGTAGTTATTATTAATAATTACTTATGTATGAAAATATATTTAGTTTTTTGTGATGATCCTTAATAATTATATTAATATTAATTAATAATTAATTTATGTATTTTATTAATGAAAAGTGCTTTGAGTATTTTATGGAAATTATTCAAATATTAAATTTATATTGCTCTAATTAAAATAGAATTTGAGAATTTATGTTTGTCTTATTTGATTAAATAAACAAAAAATTAAACAATCAATTTTAAATTATAAAACAATTTTTTTTTGAATTTATAATAAAAATTAGACTCTTTATTTATAATGTTTTTGATTTATAACTTATTTATTATGTTTAATATTTATTATACATATTAATACACTCGGGATCTATTCCAAATTTCGAATACACTACATAACTTTATCAACATTTTCAACCATTTTTTATTATAGGTAAGCAGGGAAGGTATGGCCCTTGCTGGCCATCCATTTACATGTTTCTTGTACATTTGATATTATTATATATATCTAAATGGCGTGAATGGTTTACATGTTTCTCTTTTTGCCCTTATTAATAGCACCTTTCACTAAATTGTTTTTTCTGCAATGGGCCAATTAGCCCAAAACTTTCAACCTGCCTATAATATATTCTTTTTTTTTTTTTTTTCCTACCTGCCTATAATATAATTCTTTTTTTTTTTTTTTGGTTAATGTCCTGATTATATAATTTTTTTTTTAAAAAAACATGTACTTACCAACCACCTTTTTTTTTTTTTTTTGGTTAAATGTCCCTATTATATAATTTTTTTTTTTAAAAAAACATGTACTTACCACCACCACTATTATTAATAAGTGATAATCTTATAAATTTGTTCATCAATTTATTGTTCATTTATATATTATTATGTATTTATTACTCTATTAGTACAAAATTTTAATGGCAAATTTTTTTACTCTATTATCTCAAGCATGTTCAAGTTAGAGTTGTTCCCAATAAAAAAAAAAAAATCACAAATTAGGTTTTTTATTATTGGTTCCTTAAGTCACAGAATTATTACTTTTTTTTTTAAATGAAAATTTATCACAAAGATCTGTTTGGCAATCGCCTTTGAACTAACTTTTAGTGTTTCGAACAAAATTAAAATTCCATCACATTATTCAGTAACATAACTATTATAATAGTTTTTAGATGTTAAAAGAGCTTTTTATGAAATATTAAACATTCTAACGTTTAGATTTTTACATAGATTAATTAAATTTTTTAGACAAACATGTCTTTTTTTTTTAATTAAGCTAATTAAACATTCAACGTATTTGTCTTTTTTTGTCATTTTAAGTTAAAAAACTAATTTAAAACGCCATATAAATAACATTCAGCTAACAACTAATAACTAATAGAACGACTAACAACTATTAAAAGAGCAAATATTACTAAGGATACCATAACCTTATTTAATATTATATTATATGGTTTCGATTTCAAAATCGCCGGTTTCAGTTATAATAAAGATAGAACCAAATAATATTACTATTTTTTATATATACCTTATAGTATATATCATAATTTTTTACTTTATGTAATAGAATTTAGATTTAAATAGAAATTAATATCACCAATTAAAATTAAATTATTTATTTTTTCAATCAATCAAATTAAAATTCTAAATGATATTTTTGTCCATCCAAAAATTTAGTAAAGACGCTTTTAGCATCTCAATATTCGTCATCCATTTCACTTTATATATACTACTATTTTACAATGTGTAGTGCACGATTGAATCCTCGTTATATAATTTTATATTTTTAATTGACGAATATAATAAATATGATAAAATATCAATTTATAATTATATTTAACTAAGTCTTGCACGTTGATTAGCATTATCATTTTTGTAGAATCCGTTGGAAGTTTTAATTGCTTTCTTATAGTATTATATATATATATATTGCAATAATAGCACATTATGGTACAATAATGTCAAAACGGACAATATCTATCAAAATAAAAATTAGAAATATAATTGAAGCCAAATATAAGTAGGAATCAAATATGAAATGGATGAATAAACAATTTTTTTTTTCATTTTGGCGTGGCAAATGGTTAACCAAATGGATTTGGAAGACTCCATTGGAGTCAAAGACTGAATAACTCATGAATGGTCTTGCATTTTTAGAAAAACAAGTCATAAGCCCAACTTGGGCTTGTAACATAGCATTGATACGGCATAGTTTAAATGTGCAATGTACCTTGTAAGATGGCTTTTGCCTTTGAATAGAAATTTGGTGTTCCTTCCTTTCAATACTTACAATAGAAATAAATTCAACACACGCATTTGACACTTATCTTGATTTTGATTCTCTGCAACCTCTAAGAAACCTCCTCCATACTTAACATTATTCTTTTCATTTCCATGATATAAACATTATATGCATGTGCAATTATTGTGTCCATCCATGAAATTTTTAAATTAAAATTAGGGTTGGTAGATAAACTATGATTAAATTTCCGGTAAGGATAAAGAAATGAAATGAAATGATTTTTGTTTGGAAAAATTACTATTTTATCTTTGTATTTAATTAAAATACATGATTTTGTCTCTATATTTTTTTTAATATACATTTTTATCCTTTTTTTTTTTACCTCTATTACAATATCATATCATTCTTTCAATTTTTTCATTAAATATAGAGATGGATTAGTTAATTTTCGCCAAATTATCAATTTATTGACGAAAAAAAGTACACAAAATTGATATAAAGATATAACAGTATAATAGAAGCATAAAATAAGGACAAAACTATGTACTTCTAAAAATGCAACAATGAAAAAATATAAAGAGATAGAAATCAAAAATGAAAATAAATTATCTTAATTAAATTAATATTTTATTTAATATGACTGTAAAATTAGAGTTCTCAAACTATAAAATTTATGGAAAAAGGGAGAATTATTATTTTGTCTCTCAAGTTGGTCAAATACACTACTTGGTCTTCACTTTTCCCTAAATACATGATTATAGTCTTAACTTTTACTTCCATTCAATACTTTAATCCTTCCCATTATTTAAGAGGATTCACCGTTAGTTTGTATTAAAAAGTCAAAAATGCCTCTTATTTCATCTAAGAAAAAATGAACAATACAAATAAAGCTGTATAAAAATAAATCCAGAAAATTCAAAATCTTTAAGCTCACAAATAACCATAATTTTGAGATGAAATTTTATGGACGAAGCTATTATAATGTTCTAAAATTTATTTAGCTATATGCTTTGACAATATCATATGATAATGAAAAAATAGAGAACCGGTTCAAAAAAAAAAAAAAAAAGGAAAATACAGAGAGAAATAGAGGAAATACAAGATAGATATAAACAAGAATTGAAATTATAGATTTCTTTCTCAATCAAATTACACATTGCTTATTCTCGTTTGTTTTCTTTCTTTAAGTCTGAACCAAATAACTATTTTGAAGAAAATTGAATGAAGCGAACAAAGTCGTTCTCGCTTTATAGATGACAAGATAAAGCAAAGAAGATTCAAAAAATGAAATTAAAGCATTTGTATTGGAATCAAAAGCAAATTGAAAATGACACATTGATTTCAAAATCTCTCAATTCCAATGACTACCCATTGGTTCCATCCTACGTGAATAATCCAAATTTGAGATCTGGGTCCTCGAGACTCTCTATCCAGCATTGAGCGGAGACGTCAGTAGCCGATCTAAGCAAACCCTTCATTGTCTTAGTCTTATATTGTTATGGAACCGAGCGAGATTGATAAGACTTTGCTCATCTATAAGAAGGATTGAGCATATCATTGAATTTTCAATCTCAAATGAGAATTTGTTTAGATAATTTCACCTCTAATATAACTCTTACTCTAATGTTGTGTTTAGATAATCTTTTTTTTTTTTTTTGAAATCAGAGAGTGCATGATAAGATAAATTGAGTGAGATAAGAAAATGAAGGCCGAGAAGACAAAAAGCAAAGAAGGTTGATGAAGGGTTTTTAGTCATAAAAAATTCTCTCTCTTTTGATTGTATTCTAATGCTTTGACTCACAGTAAAATAGTAAAAAAATAATTGAAAGGACTAAAGTATTGGATAAAAATAAAAATTAGGGACGTATTCATATATTTTGAAAAAAATAAGGACTGAATAGTGTATTTAACCAAAACTCTGGGATAAATAGTAATTCTCTCTGCAATGAATAAGTAACTAAATAATTAAAACAATAAAATTTCAAAAAATTAATCAGTTTTAGTACTGGGATATGTATATGTACTGGTCTAATGTCATGTCAAACGGTCAGAAATTACTCAGGAAAAAGAAAAAAGAGAGATCTTCAAAGTCAAAATTGGAATCAAATTGTTCATCTCCTCTAACTTTCTACAAAATTCAATTCAATCTCTTTGAACAAAGAGTTGACACATGTAATGTAGATTTTGGAATAGACTTCTCTTATATTATTTGTGATATAGTTTTTACAATTCAAACTATTGAAAGTAAAATATAAGTTTCAAAATTATCATTAAAAAATCACAATAAAACTGATATTTTAAAGGAAAAATGCATCAAGTTTTATGTTATGTAAAAATGGGCTAGAGATAACCAACCCATAAGCCCAAGATCCACTGCCTTCTGTTTTTCAAAACACAAATGGGACTTTGTTACCCATTTTGATGCAATAGTCTATAGCATCAATTAAACGGATTATAGTTGAATCTAAATGGATTCATGTAATAATGGGTTAGAGTTAAATCTAAATAGATTCATATAATAAACAGGTGACTCATATAAGACACGAGTTTAAGCGGATCGTGTAACGGATTGATTAATTTAACCCGTTTATTTTAAGACAAAATATAATTTTATATATAATATATATATTAAAAGGGTTATAAGTGTTATATGTATCGTGTTTTGACCCATATATAATTTATTTAATTAAATTTGATTAAATTTTTTTGACTCATATGACCCGTTTAACGGGTTTCATGTATCACTTGTTTAATTTTCGTGTTCACCCTGATCACATTGCATGTTAGATGGATCCGTGTCGAACCCGACAGGTCACCCATAGTATATATGTCTAAAAGGATAATTGATCATCACAAAACAGAATGAAATGGAGGTTGAGCTGTTTTACTGATTAAAAAACTTTAGATACTACTAGGAATGTGCAAAGTTCACAAACAAAATTCCTTTTTCAACAACACAATCAGCAATATTAAGCAGGCCCTTGGTCATTCCACAAAATCAACTCAGCATGACAGAACTACAATTCATTGCCACTAGCAGTATCCAATTGAGTACATAAAGCAAAAAAGTAATATTTAAACTTATATACAAGGAAATTATGTTTTGGTTGTCAACAAGCTTGCATTTATGTATGATTTACCCTCAAGTGTAAGATAGTAATTTGAAGTAAATCACAATATACAAAGAAAGGGAAAGCAGAGCAAATACATGTTGCCAGAAGAGAAGAGCAGAAGCCTCTTTCACTGCATAACCTCTCAAGCTCGCAATCGCTCCCAATAAAATGGCGCTTGGTGTTGTGTACTGTAACAAGAGCACGAATCTGTACATTGCATCACCTTGTTCAAGAAAATTCAGCTTATCTGCCAATATTACAACACCAATTCCCAGCAGAGGAAGCACCAAAAGCCTCGCTATAGTTATGCCAATTGTAGTTCGAAGACCAAGTTTAGACTCATTTGGTCCCTCGGCAAGCATACCTCCAAGAATAAGCATAACAGATGGCACCATAGCACCAGCTAAAATCTCTAAACTGTCTGTCACAAAAGATAATGGAGCATCATATCCAAAAACAAAACTTTTTATTTGCGGAACCATCCCAACAATGATAGCTAATAGTGAAGCAATTGTTGGAGGTTGAAGTATGTGCTGTATGGGAGTTTGTTCCGCGACTGTTCTAATTCTCCTCATAACTTTTGGCTCAGCCAAACACCTAATAGACCTAGGACTAGTTGCAGCATCCTCTCCAGAGAGCTCAAGGTCTGGAAAATTTGTGTGTGAAAGGGATGAGAGGCTGTTAAATGTCCTAGCAATGAATGGAGTCTTGGCATGTTCGGTTTCTTTATCCTCAATTCCTGGCCATTCAGCTTCCACAAGAAGCGGTCTACTGACATCAGCAGGTGTTATTTGTTCCTCAATCTCACATCTTTCATCGACAATCTCATAATATTCTAGCGGTGGCTCCATCATATGATAAACAAGTGTGTAAACTAGAATTACTGCAACCCACTGAGCAAATGAGACATAAGCGACTCCTCTTGAGTGACAATGTTCTCCAAATGGATTTTCTTTAGTATGACAGACAGATCCAACTATTGCTAGAGGAAGATTTCCAGTATTTCCAAAGGCAGTCATGATAATAGTGAATCTATTAAATTCAGGCGGGGGGCGACATATAGCCACAACTAACAGCCCAAGCAAGAAACCAATCAATGTACTAACCAATACATTGACAGGGATAAACCACCAAAGAGCAATGTTCTGGAGCGTAATGCTTTCACCAAGCTCAGTAAATATTAAGCAGGGCAAGAATAGGGCAAAAACTAGCTTGCTTAGAAGTCTAAATGTTGCTCTGGGGGTGATTTGGGTTTTTGGGTGTGCAAGAATCAATCCAATAACTGTAAGGCAGATAAGTTTCATCAAAGGCACTATAGCAGTTACCAAATCTTCACCAGTAGACTTCATATTGTTTTCATATAAAGCAGACATATATCTAGACATCTCCGTATTGTTTGGATCAAGAAAAGTATCTTTTTTCGCTGCAATAAACAACACAAGATCTTACAAAAATTTCAAAAAGAAACAAAATTAACCCAAAAACCATTCGAGAAATTTGAAGTTCTAAAATACAGATATAATTAATCACCAAGCAAAGTAGCCAAATCTTCAACAAATGAAACAAGGGTCTCAAGACTATCACCAATCGTCAACAAAAGATATCAGATTAAAAAAAAAAAACAGAGAGAGAGAGACTACCAGAATAAATTATAGATAAAAAAGATTAAAAATCAACATAATATTAATGGAATATGGGTTTCAAGAATTCAATTGAAAAAACATATTTAACAAGGATAAATTGAATTAAATTTAAGAGGGAGACTTACAGATCACAGAATTGAACTGAGACAACTCGAAGTAGAGAGAGATTAAAGAGAGAGTCAAGATTTACTCAAAAGGGGTTCTACAGTAGGAGGAAAAAGATTCACGAGATTCTTCTTTCTACCAGGAAAAGAGATGACAAATTCCAATCTCCTATTAGATAATAAAAAATTGATAATGGTTATACGCAGTTTAGTTTTTCTTTCTCATCGTTCCTCTGTTGCCAAAAATAAAAGAATTTGTATTTTGTCTTTCATTTATCCCTTCTTTGGATGTTTATCATAGAACATTGTCGAGCTTCAGAGGCCGTTTTGCAGAGTCGAAAATTTAATTTGTGTAATTCGATAAAGTCCAAATTATACGAAAACACTTTGTCTGTTATTCAATTTATAATTATATTTTTTTGGAAGAAAATTTATAATTATATTTGGAAAACTTAGATATTATTGATAATAATTATCTTTACTCCAATATTATTTTAAATCTTAAAACTTTATATAGTAATAATGATTATCTTTATTTGGCATGCATACTTATTTGAACAAAAAAGAAATAACATGTAAACTATTTTTCAGATTTTTCATTGTTAACACAAAACTGTTTGGATCAAAGAAAAAATAAATCATTTTTAAGAAAAATGATTTGGGGTAAGAATATTTTCTAACTATTGATAAATTTATTATAATTTTATAAATATGTATGTTTAATTAATTAATTACCGTGTCCACTATTACTAGTTATTTGTCATCACTTATTACTAGTTATTTGTCATCACGGCTACTAATACTAATCTCTGGCTACCTCCGTCAACGCCATTGATCAACATTGGCTATCACAATTCATCACTTTTTATGCATTTTTTATATTTAATAATAAATTTATAAAATATGAGATTTCTATAATTATAACCGTTTTATGATATAAGTTTAAAATTGTAATATTTTTAATTAATTTTCAATATTATAATAAAATAATAAAAAATATTTTTTAAAATCAAATTATTTTATAAAAACAAATAAAATTTTAATTTAAAATAAAAATCTACCATCATAAGATTCTGACTAATTTTAATTTAAAATTAAAAAGTAGTGATATCAACAATGAAGTTATGTGGTCTAAAACTATATACTGAAAAAAAAAAAAAATTGCAGTTTAATGGATTTTATAATAATTATATTCTCTAAAACTATATTTTGGGGGAAAAAAAAAACTGCAGTAAAGTAACGCATATTTATATTCAAATATATAATGATAATGATAATAAGGTGGGCCAGTCTTCACGTTGCCTGTCTGGCGTTGATTGATGCTCATTTTTAATTTAATCACGTCATATCCCTTGTCTTGGTTAGCGTATGGACCTTTCGCTAACTTTTTTTTTTTTTTTTTTTGCCAGTTCTTCACGGTATGCCCTGTCTGGGTTTGATTGATGCTAACATTTATTAATTTAATCACGTCATAATCCTTGGTCTTGGTTAGCGTATGGACCTTTCGCTAACTTTTTTTTTTTTTTTTTTATAAACTTTTTTTTTTTTTTTTTTTTATAAACTTTTTCTTAATAATGAATATTAATTATTATTTGATAAATATTTAGATACCCTAAAATTCACCAACATCTTACTCTTTATCTCTTTATGTGAACCAAAATACATAAATTTACTCATATATCACAAAAAATCTTGTTAGGAATGAAATAATCATATATGATATTCCTCATTTTTAACTTCATCCTCAGTGATAGCCAGATTTTTTTTTTTTTTTATAAAAGAAAATTGCTTAAAATGGTAATTTTGAGAATACTGCCAAGCAAAATACCAATATCCCCTTGTATTGGTTTTTAGTTTAAACATTGATTTTGTGAGAATTTAAAAAAAAGTGACGGATATTATTTTGACCGCAATTAATATTTCAAAACAGACTGTACCGCACTATAAGAAAATGATAACTTTTTACATTATGTGCACAAATTAAATTTTTGGAGTGCAAACATGCTCTGAATAATGTACACAATTTCTGCTACGGTTAATAATTAAATATGTACGTAAAATGAGATTTACTCACAACTCTCTAATAAATTAAGAACGAAATGACATTTTTCTCTAAACAACAATGCTTAACTCAGAACTGTTGTGCCAATTTATATTTCTTTTGATTACCTTCTTAAATGGTTAAAGAGAGAAACAACCTAAATTATGTTGAGATTCAGTACCCTTTTAAATTGTTAGTGCAGTTGTTTAATGATGTTTTTAATAGAAATAACAAAATTAATTCTATCTTCGTATTATTTAATCATGTTTTGCAAGTTCTGCTAACGAGGTAACCAAAAAATACAAATGATTTGTGCTCATATTTACAAGTACTATAACATGATGTTTGCACGTGTTAATAGTTGTGCACACTTAGAATTTGGTTTCCATAAACAATTTTAACTTAAATAGTGCAAACACAAAGTATATTTAATCCATGTACACTTATACCAAAAATAAGTGGAAATTTTTATATGAGTAGTGGAGCCCACTTTTTTTTCCTTTTTTTTTTTTAATTCTAAGTAAATAAAACTCCTGGTCTAAGTAACTCATTCTCTCTCTCATCCTTTAGCATCGTATGTCTCATCTTTTACTATCATTTTATTAAAATTTAGAGATCACTTAATTATCTTTCATACGTAAATTAAGAAAAAATTTATCTTTTTAATCCAATAAATTTTGACTTTCTTTATATAAATAGAATGAATAGATTAGTAATTTTTAAGATTGGAATAAAACTCAATTTGTCGTCTGAATTTGAGTTCAATATATAATTTGTTCAAAAATTAACTTTTTGTATAATTTGACTTTGAACTTGAACCAAAAGAATTATTTTTTTATTATATAGGTTATAAGTACACAAGATATATTACAAAACTGAATAACACAATGTTGTAATTTAAGCAGCCTTCAATTATAATTTTTGAAACACATAATATATGTCAAGGATTTATTTAAAGAACAACCCAGTCAAATCAAGCAAGAAATACATTTTAAAGATAGAAATTACACAATGGAAAAATAATTTATTAGTCCTTGAGGTTTGGCTTAATTCACTTCTTTGTTCCTCTATTTTCAAAAACTAATTTAATAGTTCCTAAGATCTGCGTGGGTCAAACTAATTCTTTTTCCTTCCATCAAATATGACCTGGGAGCAAAAGTAGATAATCTAAAACAAGTATAACAATTAAAGAAATTTTCAATTACATTTTTAACATTCTTTCACAAACTTGTCTTACCTTGGGTAGACATGGCACCCATAAGCCCATAAGTCCCGGTAATATATAGGCATCGCGACCGGTTCGGTTCGAACCGAAACTGAATTGAAATCGAACTGTACTGTAAACGAACTGAAATCGGATCGAAACCGGCGGTTCAAAATTTTAAACCGGAACACCAGCGGTTCAAGGACCGATTAAAGTTCATGCGAATATTAAAATATGGTCCAGAACCTGCAGGTTCGATCCGGTTCAAACCAAAAATTTTTTCTTTTTATTTTCAAAATGATAATCACTTAGCCTATTTTATGCATCTCTAAAAGTCTCAATAATATTATACTACATGATATACTTTACTTAAGAATTTTCCGGTTCATAACGATAAATTTTTTTCTTTTTTATTTTTTCAAAAATGATAATCACTTAGAGCCTATTTTTAATTGCCATCTCTATAAGTCCTCAATAATAGCTTGGAGATATCTACGCATGATATTACTTTGACTTAAGAATTTTTTTTGTTAAATACACTTTCCTTCTTAAACAGTTAGAAAATTTAAAAAAAGTTAAATGGTAGAAGGAATAAGAGAGATAATATTTAGTTCTAGTAAACTTAATATCCTATTTTTAGAACTGTGGTTTTTGTTGTTTAGCGGTCTTTTAGAAAATGTGTTTGTGTTAGAGAGGTGGTTGAAGAGATTACATTCTTTTTTTGTAAGCAGGTGTGTATTTTCAGATGTTTTCCAGAGAAATAGATAATTTGCGCTTATAAGGTTTATTGGTTAAGGTTAGAGTAGACATTTAAACAAATATGTAGTGATGAATTTCTAGTGTTTAGATTAGTTTGTAAGAGAGTTTAAGTCTTGAAGTTTATTGAGATGTTCCCTATGTGATGAGGTAGTACGAGCATTCTAAAAATTATTTAAAATAAATTTACAAATATTTTTTAAATTCATATTTATAGTGTATACGAAAGAAAGTTGTAACATTAAATACCGATTTTTTTAAAAATATATGTATGAAGTAATAGCATTCTAAAAATTATTTAAAATAAAATTTACAAATATTTTTTAAATTCATATTAATATGTACGAAAGAAAGATGTAACATTAAAACCGATTTTTTTAAAATATATGTATATATATATTGTTGGAAATGGTGAATGGAACCGTCGGTTCATTGGAACCGCGCCGGAACCGAAATAGGACCGGAACCGATGGTTTCAAGAGTCGATTCAGATTCAATATTTTAAAAAATTTGAACTATCGGTTTCATAAACCAGAATGGATGATTCAATGAACCGGCCATGCCTAGTAATATAAATCTCCAAGTGAGTATTTTGATTAAAATATTTTTCTAATATCTGTTCGTAAGCAAAGTAATACTATATTGTATTCCTTTATTTTCCATGACTCTAATGTCTCCATTGTGTCATCATTAATGACTTTTGACAAGACCGCGGCAATGGCATCATAGAAATGTAAAGACGGAGAGCTTGTGAAAGAAAACTGAGAAATGAGAAAGAAAAGGAAAGGGAGAAATAAAGGGTGTTCTTATCTTTTCATATCGACTCAGACGATAAAAATCACAAAAATGGGGAGACGGATGTCTTCAGATAGATGGAGTGAAACTGCAAGAACTATTAAATTAATTATTAAAACTGAAAAAAGGAAGTAGTGAATTTGGTCAAACTTCAGGATTAAAAAAATTATTTTTCCCTTGCGCATTTAGTGGAAGTTAAGAGAGGGGTGAATAGAAGAACATGAGACTTATATTTTGTTCGGATGGATGCAAAATATGAATGGATGTATACTATGTTATGATAAAAGTGTTCGGATACCACTTGTCTGCTCTAATGCCGCTTGCTATTTGAAAACTCAGTAACTTACCATGTTTAAATAACTGTGCAATAAATATCAAATAAATAAATATTGTGAGTAAATAATAGGAAACACTGAGATATCAATGTGGTTTGATAAATTGTCTATATCTATAGATAACAAATAAATACTATCAACAAAATAATAGGAGACATGAGATTTTAACATGGTTGGACGAATTATCTACATATATTGATAATATAAAATCATTTACTATGTGAGAATAAAATAATATATACAAATGTCGTA